CTCTCCACCCTTACTGACCCACCGTCAGCTACCACTCCTGAAGCTTCCTTCCCCTCCCCAAACAGCGTCTTCAGCTGGGACCAGCATATGACATACAAGGGGCTGTGGGCACTGCCCATTTGAGCAGGATGCTGACTGGCTGTGAGGACGAGAACTCGGAAGATCAGCTCTGAAATGCCCGCCCACTGCACACTGCCAGTGACAGCCTAGCCGCAGAAACGTCTGGCAGTTTCTCAGAAGGTTAAACATAATTAGCAATTCAACTGCAATGTGTACAATGTATCCAACCAAGGAACTGAGACCATGTCCACAGGAGAGCACGCTCCTGGATGTTTACGGCACCATCATTGTACAAATGAGCCCCAGAGCAGAAACAAGAGTGATGACTATCACTGGACAACCGGGCAAAGGCGTGCAGTACATCCGCAGCACGGCACGTTATTTGACCACACACAAAATGCTGTTATATGCTACTACATGGACAAAACCTTTAAAAACATGTTAAATGAAAATAAGCCAGATACAACCATGTCTTATATGACTGCACTGATTTGAAATACTCACAACAGGTAAATAGATAAGTGGCTATTTGATAGGAAGAGATAAGAGGTTGTTGGAAGGAGAAGTCAAGGCTGAAGTCATGTGAGATTTCTGTCTGGGGTGACAAAACTGTTCTATTAGACAGTACTGACCATGGTCTAATATAGCAAATATACTAACATGTAGAACTATAGAAACATTAAAATGGGAATTTCCTGTGTGCATTTTATCTCAAGAAAGTCAATTACAAAATTCCATAATTATAAAATATAGAAAAAATATTTCCAGTAGTCTTTAACTATGGTCTCAGATATCAAAGTGATCTGGAATGGTGAGGGAGATCCGGGACTGAGGAACACTTCTAAAAACCGACACATCGCTAATGAACCAGCTCTTTTTTCAAGGTGCATGCACAGATTTTACGAGGAAACTAAGTGGCAGGCAAGCTTTAAGAGACAGTCGGGTGAGGGTAAAAAGCTTTACTCACATCTTTCCACTCGTGCCCAGCAGCCCCAGGGAAGTGGCTCTCCAGAGTACCCGTCTGTGAGGACCCCTTAAAGTGACTGCCGAGTCCTGACGGCTTTCCTTTAGAGATCATGGTCAAGCTGAGCTTGTTTAAAATACCATTTTCTAGGACTTACATGCTACTCCCCCAACGATGGGAATACTCAAAGCTTTTAGAGGGATAAACTACCGAATGGTCTCTGACTACAAACAGGCCACAGTTCACTGGAAACAGCCAGTTCGGATAAATACAATGAAAGCAGACACTTCTGGTGATGGCCCTGAAAGCTTCCATTAGAGAAACCGAGGGCGCCAAAGCAGGACAGCCTGTGTCTACCCAAGGTGAGCGAGAGTGAGCAGTCGCCTCCTCCCTGGACAGCCCAAGTCTCAAGGAACCTGGCACACTTTCCATTGAGGAAACTCAATCCCCGCTCCCAGAACAGGGACTCGGCCCAGTGGATTTGTTCTGGACGCCTTTCCTTTGACTCCCAGTTTTGGTCAGAACCTTCTCCTAGATTTCTCACCAGCATTGGCTCAGTCCTATTCTGTGTTATAAACTAGAATTTAATGACAGTGGTTCAATCCAAGAAAACCAAAGGCAAAGGAAGAGCACAGGAGTGGTGGGCAGCGGACAGAAGTGACCTGTGTGTCTTCTAAGACACTCAGTACCATGAGCGCGAGGAAGATGACTGCCAACCTCTCCTCTGAGTGAGACGGGTCATGAAGAAAGGGAAAGAAGTGCAGGGAGGAGCGTGCAGAAGATGCACTTTGATGCAAGCTTTTTCCTAATTTGATTGACAAACAAAATTATATAAATGCATTAATAGGTTTTATCTAATAGAATATATACGTTCTAAAATGCAGAAAAGCTAATTTATACACATTTTTGTTTAAAGACAAACATCAAAGACTAGTATCTTATTTGGGCTTATTTATTTGGGAAAAACCCAAGCTGTATTATTCCAATATGCAGAACAGAATCTAATGTGATAATAAAGTTTGGTTATGTTTAACTGTACAAAATTATTACTAAGGGTCCAGATGATAAATATCAGTAATTACTCATTTTATTGCATTTTCAATCAGTTTTTATTAAAATAGGTCAATCAATTATCAGCATTTGAGTTTTTGAAAATCTTTAACACATTTTAAGCAAAATGCAAAGACATATTTAAGTTTTATTCCTAATATGCTTAGTGATATGTATTCCAAAAGTGATGAAGACAGAGCTGTAAATGAAAGGGCCCTCAGCTAAGCACAGGTTCTGTAGGATTAAATGTGAAAGTCAAGGGGGCTTCTGAAAAAAAAGTAAGAAAGAAAGAAACATGTACTGAGATGGAAGTTTTTGCAGAGAGCTAGTGAGGAGGACAGAGAGGCCCCCGACCCCTGAGGCTGCAGAGAACTGTCAAGGAGACCTGTGGCAAAAACACAACTACCAGGTACCTTGTGACACGGGATCCACAGTGGCCAAGAGTTTGAAAGAAGCCAGAGGACTTGCTCTGGAAACGGTTAAGCTGTCCACACATCAAAAGGACTTGCTCTAGAAAGGGTTAAACTGTCCACACATGAAGGATTTGCTCTAGAAAGGGTTAAACTGTCCACACACCCAAGGACTTGCTCTGGTTAAACTGTTCACACACTGAAGGACTTGCTCTAGAAAGAGTTAAACTGTCCACACACCAAAGGACTTGCTCTAGAAATGGTTAAGCTGTCCACATACTGAAGGACTTGCTCTAGAAACGGTCAAGCTGTCCTCACACCGAAGGACTTGCTCTAGAAACGGTCAAGCTGTCCACACACTGAAGGACTTGCTCTGGAAAGAGTCAAGCTGTCTACACACCGAAAGGACCAGTGGTTGGGGGAAGGCTGAGTCAAGCTGCAGAGATGAGGGAATGAGAACAGTGACAGAGGACAAAAAGTATGCTTCTAGCTACAATTTTAAGATTGCATATGAGAAACTTAATACACATAAAAAGTGTACAGCTGAATCCACTGAAGTTACTTTTCCGAAGGGCTGTTATACCTAAGCCCAGAGGTCAAATGGCACAGAAAAGAACGAGCTAATGTTGTCAATATTTTTGTCACATAGTGCCTATATTAAAAACAAACAGGTTTCCTTAAAAAAATTAGGTTTTAAATTTTTGTGTGTGTATATTTAAGGTGTATAGGCTTGTTTGGAGGCATGTACATGTTCATGCTGGTAAGCATGTCCATACATGTGTGCAGAGGTCAGAACTTGATTTTAGCTGCCTTCCTTAACTGCTCTCCACTTTATTTCTTGAGGCAGGTAAGCGAGTACATCAGCGAGCTGGGGTCTGCTCGTCTCCCCCCACTCACACGTGCATCAGTGAGCTCGGG